CCCCAAAACCCCAAAACCCCAAAACCCCTCCTGTTTATAAATTTATTGAATAAGTAAGGGTATTAGAGGATAAGAAGGGTTAAAGTTGATTTTAAAGGGATTTTAAGGATTATGAGTTGTTTTAGGAATAAAAATGGAGAAACAGGAAATTGAAGGTATGTTTGAGGGGTAAATTAGGGTTGGAAGAGGGTTTAGAGGATTTTGAGATGGGTTTTTGAAGAGTTCGAAGGATTCTGTAAATTTTAAGTATAATTAGCTATAGATAGAGATAGAGAGAAGGAAATGGAGGAGAAGGAAAAACTTGAGGTATATATTAAAATTTAATTGTAGAAAACAAAGAATTTGGGTGTACCTCAAGTGTTAATAAATAAATGGTTAAATATCGAAACAAAGAAGTCTAAATTTGTACAAAAGCAGAACCAAATCGATAACGAAGCTGATGTTTCTAAATACTCTGAATCATCTATGAGTATATCAACCAACAGATTCAATGATATCGCAAAGAAAAAAAGGCAACGAATGTCCAAATTTGTCGCTAAGAAAACTTCTAGCAATTTGGAATTACAATCCTTTGTACAGAAGCCTGACAAACTCTCCATTGGTAATTGAAACATATTAGGATTATAGAACCGGCCCCATCACCAGGTGCTTCTTTCTTAAGCCATGAAAGAATCAAAGGTCTTGAGAAAGAGAAGTCTAAGGTAAGACACTAAGAAGTTTTTACGTTTGAATAATTTCAATCTCGAAATTTTCTAACCCATTTATAATATTTACATGCATATTTCACCAGTTTTTGTATTAGAGAGTCCATCTGGCATTGCCTAGTCATCATCTTGCTTATTTATTACTAGAAAATGAAACTATAACATATTTTGGGAACAATCAGAAAGCTAGATTTTTAACCTGAGGAGCCTAGTTATAATCGAACCCGAACTTTTCCCCAGCAATTGTTCTGTAAAGGGTTATAAACAGGAATTAGCTTTTTATTTAATTTTATTAGTTTATCAAAATTTAGCATTTTCAAATTTGAATTTCTCCCTTTAAGACTAAACACTCCTTCGAGAATTCTGTTATGCTTGATTTCATACTCCTGGTTTCAATAGCTTAGCTTGAGAGGAAGCAAGACTTTAGAAATCATTCAGTCAACTTATTGTGTTAGTCAATAAAATGTTCTAGAAGAAGAGAAACTAACCCATTTATTGCTAAATATTGAAATTCTTGGGATATCCTTTTCGCAGTTGGATTTTCAGCACTTGAACAATGTTGTGGGCTATATTTTTCTTCGAGAATTTTAAGTCAAGTGCATCACTAGGGTGGTATTAGTATCTGTGGCCCACTCTGTGGGATACATACATGAAGGAACTGATATTTTTCATCCCTAACTTATACCCTAGCTTGGAAGCACTAAGTTCTGACATCTTTCCTGAAAATAAACCATCTGGTTTAATACACTTTAAATTTTATTTGAGAAATATTTAACCAGGAGAGGAATATTTTAGGCTGCGGAGTATTTCGGAACAAATTTAGAAAAGTGTATTTACTCTGCATGTTGGTAATTTAGCAGCTTCTCTAGCCCTCAGAGTTATCTGAAAATGTTCTAAACTATTTGCTAAAAAAGTTCCTTTTCAAATTGTTTCAAGGATTTATTAATAAATTATTGTTCTCAAGAAAATCTTAAATTTCTTACTCACTGACAAGAAATGGAAATATTTTCAACTCAAACTATATAGATTGAACTATCAGAAGAAGATGACAATGACTCTTATGGAAGCGTATCAAATAGTAAGCTTAGACTTTGATTGCTTCATTCTGAGCCCGCTCTCACCTGACTTAATTTTTAGGTAACCAAGAGTTTGAGGATGACAACAAGTCAGTAAAGGTGTTATTTACACCCCCAAATTCATCCAAGACTTTTAATTTCTCAAAGGATGTTATAAACAGGATCTCCAAGGTACATTCATGCTTTGCTATACCCAATGCTAATTTGTAGAACAACAGGGATATAATTAACAAAAGGAATTTGGTTAAAAAGAACCAAATTTCCAAGATTAGGAAGGTAAACCCACATTCGTCTCCTTTAACTTATTTTGAACATTTAGAAACAAAATGACTCTCACGAGCATGAAAAGAGGCTTTTTAGTGAGCATACTAAATTCCGGCTCAGGTTGTTCTCCCCTGGAGCTAAGATTAGCAGCCCAACGGATCCGAAGTCTAAGACTTTGATTTCTAAATTATGCACTCAGAGTAAAATTTTGAACAGTAAGTCATCTCTTCTGAATTAGATAAAATCTTCTCGAATAATCTACTTTTGTAGGCCAATTCAGAGGTTACACGCAGCAGAAGAAGACCAGGAATAAAGCTAACTGATTCTGGTCATGTAATTCCATCAGGCAAGAGAGTTCTGTTGCATCTGCTTCAAAGACGCTTAGAAATTCGAGAAGAAATAAAAGGACTCAGAACAGAAGTGTAGTCCCCACTTTGGTAAATCTTAAAGAGGTTACAGAAATTCAAGGGAAAACATTTGCCAAATTTAATCTTAAATTTAATGAGCCTAACTTGGTCACTCTCAAACCGAATTTGCTGGCTAAAACTCTTGTGTCTCAGTTCAAATGCACGGATATCAAACCGAAGAAGCTAAAAAGTCCTAAAAATGCTAACTTAATAGCAGCAGGTATATTCTTGGTGAACTTTAGGGTTTAAGGCTGAATTGCCACTGCTCAGACCGACTACCACAAGCTTCAGAAAATGCCTCCCAATAAGAAGCAGAAAGATGAAAGTTAAGATATCTCTGGAAAGTGTCAAAAAGACAAGAAAAAATACTTCTAAAAGACTCTGGTCACCTGTCCATATGACTACATGTGAATGGGTCAAGCCAATCCCTTAATTATTTATTTTTATTTTGAAATCTCTTGAAGGTAGTTTCAACGGTGAATAAAGTTCATGGGGTTTTGGGGTTTTGGGGTTTTGGGGTTTTGGGG